CACATACTGGTATTTAGTATTGTTGGCACCCTTCAAGATACTCAGTATACCTTCAGTCACTATGATTCTGGTGTTAATTTTAAACCAAAAACAATCGTGTTTGTAAACCCCGAATCTTTTGTGAAGTACCCGGATGCCTTATGTAATTGAGGCCAATTACACAGCACTATTGACATAAAATAACACGATAAACGTGACCGTATTCCTGCCTGATATTTTGGGTAATATTTAAAAATGAGGAGGAAGAAGCACAAGTTACAAATATTTAAAGTTTAAGGTTAGAATTCCCATGACACGGGAAGACAATAGTGTGGTTGGTGATACCAATCACCGGCGATTAATCAATGTCTCCAGATCCTAAACGATTTGAAAAGAAAGAACTCTGCAATCTTTTTAAAGCCTGGATTGATGGATGTACACTAACCTCGACAACATAATTATGAAATAAACCCTAGGGGTTAACGGCATTATAAGGTTAACCCATATTACCATATGTCAGATTTTTACAAAGTTATAAAACACACATTAAATTAAATTTCGCGAGGAAGCTTTCCCTAGTAGTCTCTCGTGCTTCTAGTCCCGTTCGGCCGAGCAGTATGAGTATCGTCTGCTGATATGATTAGTGTCGTCTGCTCAATGTTTTGCACGTGCTCCTCGTGATAGAGCGCGATGCATCTGCCGTCTGCTTGTTGCGTCGCGATGCATCTAAGAGTGTAGGTCACGGAAAGAGCTGAGGATGTATGGGCCTCATGCAATCCGTTTCCGTTGGTTGTGAGTGCTCGGCCTGTCTCGTCTGATTTATTTACCGGACTAGCATCCTAGAATCTAAATTTTACAAATAACTTTAGTTTTTTCTGGCACTGGCAGGTTAATTGACGAGGAGGTTTGTTTGTTTGTTGCTTAACGCCGCACCCAGCAATATTCCAGTGATTGACATCATGAGCATCGTTCTACAACTGGAATATGATGACATGCATCAACCAAGTCAGCGAGCCTGACCACCAAATTCCGTTAGTCGCCTCTTACGACAAGCATGTTCGTCTTTTACGTCAGGCATGGGTTGCTGAAGACCTATTCTACCCCGGATCTTCACGGGTTCTTGTCATTGTCAAGTCTCACACCCCCTAATCTCAGCAGACTGCCTCCGTGGTCTTGTGGTAGAGCGTCCGCCCGGAGAGCGGAAGGTCCGGGGATCGATCCCCGGCCGCCTCATACCAAAATACTTTGAAAGATGATACTTGTTATTACCCTGTCTGGCGCTCGGCATTTAGGGGCTTAAACAAGGACCGGTCGCCTCGGAGTCAGTATACTGTTTCGTCTAAGATTATACATTTCTTATTCAATTAACTTTCACAAGGAAAAATGTTTTCTAGATCAGTACAAGCAGACACACACCCACGTACATGCACGTCGCTATATAAGTGCAATAATCTTGGACGCGGCGTTAAATCCAATTTCACCTCACCTCACCAATCTCAGCAACCATAACGCACCCTGGTCTCACACACCCTCACACGCCCAGACCAAGCCAATTGACATCTTGATCTTACACACCCAGATTTCACACACCCTAACCTAACTCGAGCTCGCCGCCACACCACCCAAACTCACCAATCCCAATCACCAAAACCCTCACACCAACACTTTTCCTGTTCACTCACAGGTCTCGCCAAAACGTAAAGCTATATGTCCTTGCTACTTTATAGTCCTTGAAATTATGCCATTAGCTTTTAATGTTTACATTGATTCATTCCACAGTGAGTGGCAAGAGCATGGAGGTGAAAGTATGTGTACACCTTATTGATCACATAATCTCTTCTTTTTCAGGTTCGAAACGTCCATAAAATGTCACGTTCCAAGCCAGTGAAGGGGAACAGTTCTTGAAACTGTCATAAGACAAACATGATGTTGTACCTTAGATGCAGAGTCATGTCTTTGGCCAGCGATCCACACACATACATCAACTCCACACACATACATCAACTCCACACAAGTATATCAGGTCCACACACCAGTCCTCCTCACACATACATCAACTCCACACAAGTATATCAGGTCTACACACCAGTCCTCCTCACACATACATCAACTCCACACAAGTATATCAGGTCCACACACCAGTGCTCCACACACATACATCAACTCCACACAAGTATATCAGGTCTACACACGAGTCCTCCTCACACATACATCAACTCCACACAAGTATATCAGGCCTACACACCAGTCCTCCTCACACATACATCAACTCCACACAAGTATATCAGGTCTACACACCAGTCCTCCTCACACATACATCAACTCCACACAAGTATATCAGGTCCACACACGAGTCCTCCTCACACATACATCAACTCCACACAAGTATATCAGGTCTACACACCAGTCCTCCTCACACATACATCAACTCCACACAAGTATATCAGGTCTACACACCAGTCCTCCACACACATACATCAACTCCACACAAGTATATCAGGTCCACACACCAGTCCTCCTCACACATACATCAACTCCACACAAGTATATCAGGTCTACACACCAGTCCTCCTCACACATACATCAACTCCACACAAGTATATCAGGTCCACACACCAGTCCTCCTCACACATACATCAACTCCACACAAGTATATCAGGTCCACACACCAGTGCTCCACACACATACATCAACTCCACACAAGTATATCAGGTCTACACACGAGTCCTCCTCACACATACATCAACTCCACACAAGTATATCAGGCCTACACACCAGTCCTCCTCACACATACATCAACTCCACACAAGTATATCAGGTCTACACACCAGTCCTCCTCACACATACATCAACTCCACACAAGTATATCAGGTCCACACACCAGTCCTCCACACACATACATCAACTCCACACAAGAATATCAGGTCCACACACCAGTGCTCCACACACATACATCAACTCCACACAAGTATATCAGGTCCACACACCAGTGCTCCACACACATACATCAACTCCATACAAGTATATCGGGTCCACACACCAGTGTTCCACACACATACATCAACTCCACACAAGTATATCAGGTCTACACACCAGTCCTCCTCACACATACATCAACTCCACACAAGTATATCAGGTCTACACACCAGTCCTCCTCACACATACATCAACTCCACACAAGTATACCAGGTCTACACACCAGTCCTCCTCACACATACATCAACTCCACACAAGTATATCAGGTCCACACACCAGTCCTCCTCACACATACATCAACTCCACACAAGTATATCAGGTCCACACACCAGTGCTCCACACACATACATCAACTCCACACAAGTATATCAGGTCTACACACCAGTGCTCCCCACACATACATCAACTCCACACAAGTATATCAGGTCCACACACCAGTCCTCCACACACATACATCAACTCCACACAAGTATATCAGGTCTACACACCAGTGCTCCACACACATACATCAACTCCACACATATACATCAACTCCACACAAGTATATCAGGTCCACACACCAGTGCTCCACACACATACATCAACTCCACACAAGTATATCAGGTCCACACACCAGTGCTTCTCCACACACATACATCAACTCCACATAAGTATATCAGGTCCACACACCAGTGCAACTCCACACAGTGCAACAACTCCACACAAGTATATCAGGTCCACAAACCAGTGCTCCACACACATACATCAACTCCACACAAGAATATCAGGTCTACACACCAGTGCTCCACACACATACATCAACTCCACACAAGAATATCAGGTCCACACACCAGTGCTCCACACACATACATCAACTCCACACAAGTATATCAGGTCCACACACCAGTGCTCCACACACATACATCAACTCCACACAAGTATATCAGCTCCACACACCAGTGCTCCACACACATACATCAACTCCACACAAGTATATCAGGTCCACACACCAGTGCTCCAGACACATACATCAACTCCACACAAGTATATCAAGTTGACACACCAGTGCAACTCCACACAGTGCAACAACTCCACACAAGTATATCAGGTCCACACACCAGTGCAACGCTACACAGTGCAACAACTCCACACAGTGCAACAACTCTACACAAGTATATCAAGTCGACACACCAGTGCAACTCCACACAGTGCAACAACTCCACACAGTGCAACAACTCCACACAAGTATATCAGGTCCATGCATCAGTGCAACTCAACACAGTGCAACAACTCCATATATCAGTGTAGCAAATCCACACAAGTATATCAGGTCCACGCATCAGTGCAACACCACACAGTGCAACAACTCCACACAAGTATATCAGGTCCACACACAAGTGCAACGCCACACAGTGCAACAACTCCACACAGTGCAACAACTCTACACAAGTATATCAAGTCGACACACCAGTGCAACTCCACACAGTGCAACAACTCCACACAAGTATATCAGGTCCACACACCAGTGCAACTCCACACAGTGCAACAACTCCACACAGTGCAACAACTCTACACAAGTATATCAAGTCCACACATCAGTGCAACTCCACACAGTGCAACAACTCCACACAAGTATATCAGGTCCACACACCAGTGCAACGCCACACAGTGCAACAACTCCACAGTGCAACAACTCCATACAGTGCAACAACTCCACACAAGTATATCAGGTCCACACACCAGTGCAACTCCACACAGTGCAACAATTCCACACAGTGCAACAGCTCTACACAAGTATATCAAGTCGACACACCAGTGCAACTCCACACAGTGCAACAACTCCAGACAAGTATATCAGGTCCACACACCAGTGCAACTCCACACAGTGCAACAATTCCACACAGTGCAACAGCTCTACACAAGTATATCAAGTCGACACACCAGTGCAACTCCACACAGTGCAACAACTCCACACAAGTATATCAGGTCCACACACCAGTGCAACTCCACACAGTGCAATAATTCCACACAGGGCAACAACTCCACACAGTGCAACAACTCAACACATGTATATCAGGTCCACACACCAGTGCAACTCCACACAGTGCAACAACTCCACACAGTGCAACAACTCTACACATTGCAACAACTCCACACAGTGCAACAACTCCACACAGTGCAACAACTCCACACAGTGCAACAACTCTACACAAGTATATCAAGTCGACACACAGTGCAACAACTCCACACAGTGCAACAACTCTACACAAGTATATCAAGTCGACACACAGTGCAACAACTCCACACAGTGCAACAACTCTACACAAGTATATCAAGTCGACACACAGTGCAACAACTCCACACAGTGCAACAACTCCACACAGTGCAACAACTCCACACAGTGCAACAACTCTACACAAGTATATCAGGTCCACACACCAGTGCAACGCCACACAGTGCAACAACTCCACACAGTGCAACAACTCTACACAAGTGTATCAAGTCGACACACCAGTGCAACTCCACACAGTGCAACAACTCCACACAAGTATATCAGGTCCACACACAAGTGCAACGCCACACAGTGCAACAACTCCACACAGTGCAACAACTCTACACAAGTATATCAAGTCGACACACCAGTGCAACTCCACACAGTGCAACAACTCCACACAAGTATATCAGGTCCACACACCAGTGCAACGCCACACAGTGCAACAACTCCACACAGTGCAACAACTCTACACAAGTATATCAAGTCCACACATCAGTGCAACTCCACACAGTGCAACAACTCCACACAAGTATATCAGGTCCACACACCAGTGCAACGCCACACAGTGCAACAACTCCACACAGTGCAACAACTCCACACAGTGCAACAACTCCACACAAGTATATCAGGTCCACACACCTGTGCAACTCCACACAGTGCAACAACTCAAAACACCAGTGCCACAACTCTACACAGTGCAACAACTCCACATATCAGTGCAACAACTCAAAACGCTAGTGCAACAATTCCTCAAATCAGTGCAACAACTCCTCACATCAGTGCAACAACTCGACACATGATTGCAACAACTCCACACATCAGTGCAACAACTCCTCACATCAGTGCAACAACTCGACACACAGTGCGGCAACTCCACACAGTGCAACAACTCTACACAAGTATATCAAGTCGACACACCAGTGCAACTCCACACAGTGCAACAACTCCACACAGTGCAACAACTCCACACAAGTATATCAGGTCCACACATCAGTGCAACTCCACACAGTGCAACAACTCCACACAGTGCAACAACTCCACACAGTGCAACAACTCTACACAACTCTACACAAGTATATCAAGTCGACACACCAGTGCAACTCCACACAGTGCAACAACTCCACACAAGTATATCAGGTCCACACACCTGTGCAACTCCACACAGTGCAACAACTCCACACAGTGCAACAACTCCTCACATCAGTGCAACAACTCGACATACAGTGCAACAACTCCACACATCAGTGCAGCAACTTCTCACATCAGTGCAACAACTCAAAACACCAGTGCAACAACTCCACATATCAATGCAACAAGTCCACACATCAGTGCAACAACTTCACACATCAGTGCAGCAACTCCACACATCAGTGCAGCAACTCCACACATCAGTGCAACAACTCCACACATTGGTGCAACAACTCCACAAATAAGTGCAACAATTCCACAAATTAGTGCAACAACTCAACTGTGAGATAGCGTCATGATTAAAGCGTTCGCTCGTCACGCCGAAGGCATGTGGGTTCGATTCCCCAGATGGGTACAATGTGTGAAGCAAATTTCTGGTGTTCACCGCCGTGAACTTGCGGGAATGTTGCTAAAATCGGCGTAAAACCAAACTCACTCACTCACCACACAGCAGTACTCAAGAAACCATTTCTGACAACTGTAAACAACTCCCGACATCGACGAATGAACAACTGTTAAGCCCATTTAATTCCGCCCAAATCATTCACTGGCCACGACAGAAAAGGTCTTGAAGCGCTGAGAGTTAGTCTGTCTCAAACAACACATTCTTGTGCTGACATGGTCGGGGCGATCTGGGATTCGACCCCTAGACCAGCACATCGTGGCGCATTTGCACTGTTTATAATTGAATTCAATTAAACGGTTTGTTTGGAACACTCTCATACTTAACACCAGGACGGTTAGTGGGTTAACTCTTCCATCATATTTCGGAACACTGTATTGTTATTAGCAACAAAACCATTCCATAATGTACGATAATTGTACGATACCGACTATATCATATGCGAGTGAGTGAGTATACTTTTACGCCGCTTTTAGCAATATTCCAGCAATATCACGGCGGGGACACCTGAAATGGGCTTCACACATTGTAACCATGTCGGGAATCGAACCCAGATCTTCGGCGTGACGAGCGAACGCTTTAACCACTAGGCTACCCGACCGCCCCTATATCATAAGCATTTCAATTCACACTCAAATACCTATTTCGTGTCCATGAAAAGGTGAGCGTATCCTGCCCAATCGGCGGCACCATCACAAACACATGAAAAGGCAAAGAAAGAGTTCGCCGGAACAAACGCTTTATCTATTGGTAAAAGTGAAAATAGGAAAATGCATCGGACATCATTTTGGTCACGGATGCGTCAAATTTGGAAATATCCTCCAAATGCCTTCCACAAAACTAAGTAAGGCCTTGAATTTTGTAACCCTGATCAAATAAATTTTGACGAGAGTCGTATGACATACGAAAGAGATGCATTTTGTTTAATCCCTTCTCCGGTGTGACCCACGGCGACCGCCCTATAGGATAGGCTTCCCAGTACTCAGGGACATGGTTACATCTATGTGTATAGATATGACTCTCTTGTCTAGACGTGTTACACGTACAAACAGATGCTGATACTTGAGACAGCCGTATCCTTGCTTCCAATTACAAACTCCATTCCCGAGAACTCAATTTTCAAATTGCCACTTAAGCTAGTTGAATCAGAGATGTAATACCTTAACTATACGAATGGGCTTGTGATGTCGTCGAAAAAATTAAGTTCATGTGAACTCCCTGCAATAGCAATCTGAATCCAGACTTACCCCCATCCTTGATGCTACTATGTCAGATCTCTATCTATATGTGTGTGTGTGTATGTGTGTGTGTGTGGGGGGGGGGGGGGGGGCATAAAATCAAAATCAAAATCGCGTTACGAAATCGACAACTTCGAAAACTTCAGTGCCGATTTCAGTCGATTGCAGGATTTGGTGAGCGTGTGTTCCGTCAAATGGATGTCGACAGATATTTTCCAGATCTTTTCATGTCTTAATCAAGGTGCTCATGTGACTGGGAGGTGTTTTATTATAATATAGCTCTTGAATCTCCATCATCTAGTCTTGACTGGGCGCCTCAATTTTCTTTGAAGCAGATGCAAGTGATATGAGAGGTGAATCTGATTGGTCAGTAGAAGGGATACAGAAGGGACATAACTAGTAATTGCCACTGGTGGCGCTGCGATCGATCCACGAAATTCCAGCCTAGTTCGGCATGGGTGGAAACTGACCTGTTACACTGAGTTTACTTTTTTTAGTCAAATCCAATTATCGAGAGTATACTTTCTTTTGCCTGACAGTTGAAGTTCAATTGAACGATTTTAACACTAACACCGTTGTCCAATTCATGTACGCTTGAGCCTGGCAACAATTTGAAGATGGTTAACGCCCTCTTAATTCAAAACGACCCCCACCCCCTACCTACCCAAAGAATAATCAGTCTCGATTATCCGAGAAAACAAATTCCATTCGGCGTAAAAGACAAACAATGGTGAAAATATTATCAATAGATGGCACCAGGTGTTCGCGAAAAGGGTCCGGGCCCAGCCCCAAATCACACAATTTCAGAATTTACGACCTGTAAAGAATCGAACCTGGGCCAGACAATCCAGTGATCCACGTCGTCGGGATATGCCGTCACGCTGTCATCCAAGTCATCCACGGGGGAACGGGTGGCCCAGTCGTCTAAGGCACCGCGCTTCGCTGTGCAGAGTTGCGTCCCTGGGGCACGCCAGAAACCTATTATTGTGGGTTCGAATCCCTGTTCGCCCCGGTTATGTTTCTAGGTTTGTCAGCACCATACCCGTGCTCGTGGGTTTCACCGAAGTGGTAAACGTCTGAGACCTGCATCACTTCGGGCTTTCCTCCCACATGAAGCTGACACGCCGTGATTTAGCTGGAATACTGTTAAAAGCGGCGTTAAACCCAACTCACTCACTCACTCCAAGTTAAATTGCCAGTGTGTAAAGAGGTGTGACATGCATTGGGTACTGCCGACCAATTGCGGAATCCCCACGACGGCAGTTGATAAATGCTTCAACTACGAATATATTGCTTCAGAACTAACTTTGCAGTCAGTCGTAAAGATGGTGTAAAGACGGCACATGACCTTTATTACTCACTAACTTTAACCTTGAAATAACGAGAATAAAGGTCAAGGACAGTTATAAGCTTCGTGTCTATTCTTTTGGACAAGTTCCAGCGTACGAGGGGAAATTGCTTCTGCCATGCATGGTTGGTAACCCACTGGAGAGTAAGTCTTCAGATGTTTAAAACAATACTGACATTAAAAAAAACACATCATAGTCGTTAAACAGGCTTTGTCTTTCCGTTCTACCTACGACACTTGTTGACTGGGCTCCTGTCTACCTACGACACTTGTTGACTGGACTCCTGTCTACCTACGACACTTGTTGGCTGGGCCCCTGTCTACCTACGACACTTGTTGACTGGGCCTGTCAACCTATGACTCTTGTTGACTTGGCCTGTCTTCCTACGACTCTTGTTGACTGGGCCTGTCTACCTTCGACTCTTGTCGACTGGGCCTGTCTATCCACGACTCTTGGTGACTAGGCGCCTGTCTACCTACGACTCTTGTTGACTGGGTCTGTCTACCTACGACTCTTGTTGACAGGGCCTGTCTACCTACGACTCTTGTTGACTGGGCCTGTCTTCCTATGACTCTCGTTGATAGGGCCTGTCTACCTACGACTCTTGTTGACTGGGCCTGTCTTCCTTTGACTCTCGTTGATAGGGCCTGTCTTCCTACGACTCTCGTTGATAGGGCCTGTCTACCTACGACTCTTGTTGACTGGGCCTGTCTTCCTATGACTCTCGTTGATAGGGCCTGTCTACCTACGACTCTTGTTGACTGGGCCTGTCTTCCTTTGACTCTCGTTGATAGGGCCTGTCTTCCTACGACTCTCGTTGATAGGGCCTGTCTACCTACGACTCTTGTTGACTGGGCCTGTCTTCCTACGACTCTTGTTGACTGGTCCTGTCTTCCTTTGACTCTCGTTGACTGGGCCTGTCTACCTACGACTCTTGTTGATAGGGCCTGTCTACCTACGACTCTTGTTGACTGGTCCTGTCTACCTACGACTTTTGTTGACTTGGCCTGTCTTCCTACGACTCTTGTTGACTGGGCCTGTCTACCTACGACTTTTGTTGACTTGGCCTGTCTTCCTACGACTCTTGTTGACTGGGCCTGTCTACCTATGACTTGTTGACTTGGCCTGTCTACCTACGACTCTTGTTGACTGGGCCTGTCTACCTATGACTTGTTGACTTGGCCTGTCTACCTACGACTCTTGTTGACTTGGCCTGTCTTCCTACGACTCTTGTTGACTGGGCCTGTCTACCTATGACTTGTTGACTTGGCCTGTCTACCTACGACTCTTGTTGACTGGGCCTGTCTACCTACGACTTGTTGACTTGGCCGGTCTTCCTACGACTCTTGTTGACTGGGCCTGTCTACCTACGACTCTTGTTGACTTGGCCTGTCTTCCTACGACTCTTGTTGACTTGGCCTGTCTACCTACGATTCTTGTTGACTGGGCCTGTCTACCTACGACTCTTGTTGACTGGGCCTGTCTTCCTTTGACTCTCGTTGTCTGGGCCTGTCTACCTACGACTCTGGTTCACTAGGCCTCTGTCTTCCTCTGATGCTTGTTGGCTGGGTCCCGTCTACCTCAATGTTGCCTGAGAGCGCAAAACCAGCGACGAGTACCAACAGTAGATACAATTTATGACCAGTTATGTCATTTCACCGTTTCCCAAACTCTCGCTTGAATTCAGTAACAGCATGGAAGCTATACAGAGCGTGTTTTTTTCACATTCCATTGTCTGTCAGACCGAGTTTCACTAAGTGTTTTAAAGAGCGGTTTGCCACATGCAAGAATGGTATATCGCACCAGGAGCCTGGCGCAAGTCTACCTGAAGGCATGTTGTGAATGGCAGTTATCCATACCAGTTCATCACAACACGCAATGTACACCAGGTAGACGGTGGAGACTTGTCATGTTGCCAAAATCCCGCAGATACATTTCACGGGAGTGCACGATGCCACAAACACTCTCCAAGAACGAGTCACGATAAACACGCCGATTCCATGATACAACCATAGGCATTCCTCGTTGTATATTTTGCCTCTCACAAGGCGATACCTGTCGATAAATAAAGCATGCTGATATAATCTCAGGTAAAGTAAGCTAAGGCTGAGGGGGTTAGGACTCACTCTTCCTCACTTGAACTTCCTTCCGAGTTCAAGGGAGATAAGCCCGCCTTGTACAGGTGCATTGTGGGTTGAGAGAATGCGCCATGACGCGAGTGGCACTAAAATGCATGAGCTAGCGTTGGCGTTTTATCAGGTGCGGCGAAACATACCATGCATTCTCCAATTGGAAC